TGAGTTATTTTAATACTTCAACAAACTAAATGGAAATGAAATAATATATATATATTGAATTTATAAATGTGTATGTATATATATATATATATATATATGTGTGTGTGTGTGTGTGGTTGTACATACACATATGTAGTTGTTTTTTTGGTGTTTGGCTTAGTGTTATGTTAGAATCATTATTATACTCTTATACCTTTTGTTCTTTAATATTTTGAATTGTTTTTAGCTTTATTTTTTGCTTATCATTTAAATGTTAAGTTTTGAAATTTTGTTGTATGCATTTAATTTTTATTTAATCTCTTTATTTTTAAAATGTGTATAGGTAGTATTTATAAAGTTTTAGCTTTTAGTTGTTTTAATACTACAATTGATTGCTTCTGTTGTCCTCATTTGTAAGTCGCTTTGGATAAAAGCGTCTGATAAATGACTAAATAAATAAATAAATAAATCATTGCCTTTTAAATATATACAAATAATAGAACGTGTATGATGTATTATTTTAGGTGATATTACTCTTGCCAAGCTCTGATTTCTGAGAGATGCACGGAGAGGCAACAGCAATGCGGTGTTTGATTTGCGCTCTTTTCATTCATAAAGTTTACATTCATTCACTTCACACTCTATTGCGTGACTTTAGAGGTCTGTGTATAATATTGCGCTGATCCCCTGGCTCACCTGTTATCTACCAAACACCAGAATGTGCCAGCCTCAGCCGAATATTCAGGCAGAATTATTCCTTGTCCGTTATTTGTTTTTGAAGCCATTATCCGTGCCATTCCGAATAAGGTATTCGGCTTCGGGCACACCCCTAATTATTACATTACATATTTAAATTTTACATGCAACATAGATAAAGTCATAGAAAGTAACAGCAACACGCAATATTGTAATTCTAAAATTAATTTCGTACTTGCAAACTCTGTGCATGCATTATGGTCAATGCATGCTCGAGTAGTCGATTGTTTCCGACAGCGCTGACTAGTGGTTGAAGTAGTCGATCACTCGACTAGTCTATGCAAGCCCTACCCTATACACACATATTGTATACACTTATTATATAATATAGCTCATATATAGAATATTATATATAAACAAATAAATTAGAATTAAACTACAAAAATTAATAACTATATATGCATATTTAAATTACTAATACTTCTACTAATAACAGACAAAACAACAAAATGACTAATAAATATAGCATCTTGGAACTGAAATAGCACAGGGATTTGCTGTAACACTAAGTCTAACAAATTGTTATGTTTTTAAAAAATATGAAACAAAAAGAAAAAATGAAACAAACTTAAAAATAAAAATTAAATTCAAACTTGAACATTAAAACTAAAGTCACATATAAATAAACAAACAAACATTTTATTTTGGCATAAAAAAAAATGTTTGGTAATGAGAATTGTAAAAAAAAAAAAAACGATTAAAAAAGCGATTTGAACGACATCCTTTGTGGCATCTTGATTTTCTGGATTGATAAACGGCTCTTCTAGTACTGCTGTTGATTGTGTAACCTTTAACTCCCGTTCAGACCCTGTTCACACGTGACACGATCCGTGGAAGCATCGTTTGCTCACCTGTCTCTTGTAGGTGTCGAGCTGCGAGCGGATGGCTTTCGCTCGGCGCAGCTCCTCCTCCAGCTCACAGGTGCGCTGCATGTAGACATGGTTCCTCTCCTCCAGCAGACGCACCTGTCTGCACAGGTCGCCCAGATCCTCCAGCTTGCACTTGTACGTCTCCACCATCGCCTCCAGTCGCCTCACGCGGTCAGACGAGTGCCTGAGAAAGAGTGATGAGCACAGAAAGCCTGTGAAACAGCAGCATGACACCTCAGAGAGCAGCTGTCTGTGTGGATGCAGACTCTCTCGGACCTGAGGATGTCCATCTCGTCTTTGAGGGACTGGGCCTCCTGAGCGAGGCTGGTGAGCTCCTCGTTCCTCAGCTGCAGATCGGTCACCTCTCGCTCCAGAACATCTGCTCGCACACGCAGGTCGTCTCGACTGCTCTCCAGCCTGAAACACACACGACCGAACACATCAATCAGGCTGCGAGATTGGGTCACAATCATTCTGGCAATAATGCAATTTAAGCATCATTAGTGGTTATATGATATCAAGCTGATTTACAGGCAGGATCTGAAAGTGGACTGAGATCTCTTTCGGATTAATTTTAGTGGGGATAAACTTTAAACACAAACACTATGGGTTCATTTTTCTCATTCACATATTGCTAACAATTGTCAATTTTGTTACACGGTACCGTAACAAAGCTTACCGTAAAAAAAAGGTACAGAGAAAGAGAGACGTCATTTTTCTATTTGAAAATAAAATTTATAATATACTAAAAATATAGATATTTACAATATAGATATGACATGAATATCATATAATATTATTAATACAATATTATATAAATATATTGTTTTTGCATGAATGGATATGGCTAGAAATCAGTTAAGTAATATACAGTGGGTACGGAAAGTATTCAGACCCCCTTCAATTTTTCACTCTTTGTTATA